CTGTAGCCGTTTGCGGTCAGGTACGCGGCGCATCAGATCAACCTTCACCCCAGGGTCTCCAGGCCGGAGACCTCCCCAGCCTTGCTGTGGACGGGGAAGTTTGGCGATGCGTCGGCGTTCCGGGTCTGGGGATCTCGGGCGTTTGTCTGCGACTTGTCTGCGGACAAGCTGTCCCCTCGCGCTGCTCCCTGCGTCTTCCTGGGGTTCCCCCCTGACGCGCCTGGGTGGCAGTTCTACCACCCCACCTCTCGCCGTGTTCTGTCCTCCCAGGACGTCACGTTCGACGAGTCGGTCCCCTACTACCGCCTCTTCCCCTACCGCACTCCGTCCCTCCCCCCGCCCCCGCTCTTCCTTGTACCAGGTCCCCCCCCGGTAGACCCCCTCCCCCCTCAGGGTCCTGCCCCTTCAGGTGTGTCCCAGGTAGACGCAGTCGAGCCTGTCGAGGTCACTGGTGACTCTGGTGCTGCTGAGGGTGCTGAGCCTGGGGGTGCGGGGCCTGGGGGTGCTGAGCCTGGGGGTGCTGAGCCTGGAGTTGCCACGCCTGGGGGTGCTGAGCCTGGGGGTGCTGAGCCTGGGGGTGCTCAGCCTCGGGGTGCTGGGCCTGGGGGTGCTACGCCTGGGGGTGCTTTGCCTGGGGGTGCTGGGCCTGGGGGTGCTACGCCTGGGGGTGCTTTGCCTAGGGGTGCTGGGCCTGGGGGTGCTGAGCCTGGAGGTGCTCCGCCTGGAGGTTCTCTGGGTGCTTCGTCTCGCCGGGAGCCACTCTCTCCACAGGAGCTGCGCGAGTGGTTTGCCCGGCGCTGGAGCCGTGCTGCTGGTGCTGGAGGTTCTTTGGCTACTGAGGGTGCTGCTGTCGCGGGTCCCGAAGGTGCTCGTACTGGGAGTACTGGAGCTGCTGGGCCTGCAGGTTCGACTGGAGCTGGTGCTGCTGAGGGTGTTGGCACTCAGACTACCTCTGGCGGTCCTTCTGGGGGTGCTCCTGGTGCTGCTGGAGGTTCTGGAGCTGCTAGAGGTGCTGCTGGAGCGGGTGCTCCTCCTGGGGGTACTTGTGCTGTCCCTGCTGTTTCTGGCGTCGCCACGCGCCCTCGACCGTACTTCGTTCCACTCCTGCAGCAGGTTCTTGGTCTTCCACCTTCTACTGGTCCTCCTCCTCCCTTAGAGTGTCCACAGCCTGTCCCGTCACAGTCACAGCTACAGCCTACCTCTCCTTTGCCTGCTCCTCTCCCTACGCTGGTCCTACTGGAGGTCTTACTGAGCGTCGTGAGCCTGCGTCTCGCCCTACGTCGCCTGTCCGTCCTACTCGCGCTAGTGGTAGTGGTTCGCGTTCGCGTCCTCCTCCTGTCCCTGGCACGCACCGGATGTCTCTGCGTCCGTCTACTGCTCCTCTGCGTGCCCCTTTGCCTTCTCCTCCTGAGTCCTCTCTTCCTGCTCTTGCCGACCCGGAGTCGGACTCTCTTCGTGCTGCGAGTCCTACTGTCACGCGTCTCCTGGCTACTATCGTCACTGACCCTTCTTTCGAGTCCACTGCTGCGTCTGCCCTCGTTGCTGAGCTCGTCGACTTTGCTGCTCGCTGTCGTCTAGACTACGCTGCTAGTCTTGTCGCTCAGTCTGAGTCTGTCTGTCCTCCGTCCATCGGGGGTGAGTGTGCCCTTGGCACGGACGTCCTTACGGACAGGCAGGAGGAGTTCCAGTGTCTGGCAGCTGCTTCACCTCATCTCGTGTCCGTACTGCTTACCCCTGAGGGAGACCCGGATGCACTTGACATCCCGACTCCGCGCTCTTACGCGGAGGCGATAGAGGGTCCCTACTCCTCTCAGTGGCAGGCAGCTATGGATGCAGAGATGGCTTCCTGGAATTCCACATGCACCTACGTTGACGCTGTTCCCCCTCCTGGGGCGAACATCGTCAGTAGCATGTGGATCTTCAGGGTGAAGCGGGCGCCGGGTTCTCCGCCTGTCTTCAAGGCGCGTTACGTGGCTCGTGGCTTCAGTCAGCGGCAGGGAGTTGACTACTTTCAGACCTTCTCCCCCACCCTGAAGATGACCACTCTTCGGGTACTGCTGCACGTTGCTGCTCACCGTGACTACGAGCTGCACTCTCCCGACTTCAGCACTGCTTTCTTGCAGAGTAGACTGCACGAGGAGATCTGGCTGCGCCGCCCACCTGGCTTCACTGGGTCTTTCCCTCCTGGTACCCAGTGGAGTCTCCGGCGTCCAGTCTACGGTCTCCGCCAGGCGCCACGTGAGTGGCACGACACACTGAGGACTACACTTGCGGCTCTTGGGTTTGCTCCTTCTACTGCCAACCCGTCGCTGTTTCTACGCACCGACACCTCTCTGCCGCCCTTCTACATCCTCGTGTACGTCGTCAACTTGGTCTTTGCCACAGCTGACACTGCTGGACTCGCCTACGTGAAGTCCGAGCTGCAGAATAGACACACGTGCACTGACCTGGGTGAACTGCGCAGCTACCTTGGCTTGCAGATCATCCGGGATAGAGCACGCCACATCATTACCCTGACTCAGTCACACATGGTGCAGCAGGTCCTTCAGCGCTTCGGCTTCACGTACTCCTCGCCTCAGGCCACTCCTCTGCCTACTCGCCACTCACTCTCAGCTCTGCCTTCGGATGAGTCCGTAGAGTCGAGTGGCCCGTATCCAGAGCTTGTTGGTTGCCTCATGTTCCTGATGACCTGCACACGACCTAACCTTGCATACCCTCTTAGCATTCTTGCACGCTATGTTGCTCCTAGGAGACACCGACCAGAGCACATGGCTGCAGCGAAGAGGGTGTTGCGCTACTTGTGCAGTACGTCGGGCATGGGGCTAGTGCTTGGAGGGCGGAGTCCAGTGGTCCTCACTGGGCACGCGGACGCTTCTTGGGCTGACGACCAGGCTACGCAGCGGTCGTCACAGGGTTACACCTTCAGCCTTGGTTCCGGCTCTGTTTCGTGGCGGGCTACTCGCTCGTCTTCTGTTCTCGGCTCTAGTTGTGAGGCTGAGATCTACGCCGGGGCCATGGCTGCCCAGGAGCTTCGCTGGCTCACCTACCTGCTGACCGACCTTGGAGAGCCGCCTCGTTCTCCTCCAGTGCTGTACGTAGACAACAAGGCCATGCTGGCCTTGTGTCGAGAGCAGAGACTGGAGCACAGAACAAAGCACATTGCTCTCCGCTACTTCCTTGCTCGTGAGCTACAGCAGCGTGGTCAGTTGCGGCTTGCGTACGTGGCCTCTGAGGCCAACACTGCTGATGTTTTCACCAAGGCACTTGCGCCTTGTGATCATCAGCGCTTCTGCACTCAGTTGGGTCTTGTCCCTGTCTTGCCTCACTTGCTCACCTCTTGACCTTACTTGTACTGTTACATATATATATACCTGCTCTTGCTTGTCTAGCCTTATATATGTATATGTACTCCTGCATGTGAACTGGCCTTGTGGCCTTGAACTTGTGCTCGGAATGTGTGGTGACATTGTGATCCACCCTGAGCTTGCTTTGCTTTGCTTTGCTTGACTGGTCTTGTGACCCCTTGTTCTCCCCCACTTTGCCTATGGGGGTGTGTCAAATTATAATGTTGTGTAGGCTATAGTGGGGTAGCCCATATGGGGTACACATTTCTAGGGTTGCATATTTGTATCACTTTCATTCCATAGTCATTTTCATTCTCGTTCTTATCTTCTCAGGCTAATCCTGGACATTGACTCCAACAAATACATGTGCATGACATTCTCTTCTATGAAAAACTCACCTTTGACAACTGGCTCGCGGATCAGCGAGCTGGCGCAACGCAAGCTTACGCCAACAGTGGCAAGAGCTTCGCCTCCCCAGAAGATGATGTAGCAGCAGTGGGGCTCGACCGTAACACCACCGATGATAATCCCGGCGTACCTCCTCGATCACGCGACGATGATGATGATGATGATGACAATCATTACGCGCCAGGCCCTTCTCAGCGCCAGGCCCCTCCAAGGAGCCCTCCACCTGCACACGAAAGCGACGATGCCGATGTGGTTGAAATAACCACCCTGGCACTCAAAAAACGCAAGGTGTGGAAAACGCACAGGCCTAAAATTATCATGTCTCCACACCGCCACGTCCACCGCTCCGCGAATCATCGAGCCTAAGAATCCACGACAAGCCCTCACGGGTGTTTTGTCTCAAGACTATCGCCAACGACAGGTGGGTCGTACGCGTGTACGGCCAGTGTTACGGGATTGACTTCAACCAGGCCTTCGCCCTTGTAAGCCGACACACCTCTGTACGAGTCCTACTCGCTATCGTTGCCACTAAGCAGCTACCACTGTGGTAGATCGACGTGAAAAAAAAAAAATGTTATTGTACGCGCTGGTCCATGCGACCATTTTCGTGGAGCAGCCGCACACCTATGGGGAAGGAGACCCAAGGGTGTGTCAGCTGAAAAAAGTCCCTTTGCAAGATTAAGCAGGCGCCACGACTCTGGCAGCAGCATTTGAACAAAATTCTCCTTGAGATCGATCTCAAACAGCTACCGCACGACCCGGGAATGTATTGCCTCCATTTCAATGGCGACTACATTCTAGTGACGGTCTACGTCGATGACCTGCTGTACACAGGCACCAGCAACGCGCTACTCAACCAGTTTGAGCAAAACCTGGCGCAGCGCGTTGACATCACCATCAACCACAAAGTTACACAGTCACCACGATCTCAGAGGCTCGCAAGGGTTCTTTCAACCGAATAAAGGTACCCTGGTTGTGGTGAATTCAAGTTAAAGGATTTTGAACTTGACAATCGCCATGCTGTTATCGCGTTTTACAATTTACAGGATGTTCCGCGGCGAGAGCTCGTCACAGGTCGGACTTCGTGCCACCAGTTGGGTCAACTTAGGGATATCTTTGGTTCGGGTCATACACTGTTTGGGTCATCCGAGATTCTTGGAAGACCAATCAGGCGCATTTTAGTGAAAATACTCGAACACCATTGGTCCTCCCATGACCCAAAGTGTACTGATGACCCAAAGTGGCCTTATGACCCGGACCAAAGATACGCCCTTATACATGCAACGGGCCTGCTACCAGAGTAAGGGGTACCCGTCACTCGCGCCTGTCCCGCACTCTCATCTAGTTCGCATCTCACTCTTGCCTAACACATATCGAGCCTAGTCGCGCCAGCCTGCTTTCAATCCCGGTGGCCCAGCACCTCTCGCTCCCTTCTCGCCACCCCCCTCACGGCCTCGCCTCGCCACTTCGCTGCTCACCCTCCTCTCGCCTGCCCCCACGATCGCTCGTGCAAAAGCTGTCGCGTGCCCGGTAGTCATCACCACGCGCACGCCCAAGGCAAGCAGATCGCTGTCGCCTCTCGCGCGCGCAAGAGCGATCGTGACGCGCACCGTGTCGTATCGCCGCGCGCCCGCGGCCATAGCGCGTCACGGCCCATCTGCACGGCCCATCTGCACTGCCCATCTGCACGGCCCCACTCACTCTCACAACCCGCCGCGTCTGCTAACGCACGCACCTTGCGATCGCCCCCGGGGTGCGTCGCGAGGCCCGCCCGCCCGCTCACACTCGCTGCGCCTCCCCACGCACCGTTCCTCCTCGCCCCCGGGGTGCTTTCCATTCCCATTCTCAATCCTCACCGCCCTCCCGTTCCCTTCAATTCCCTTACCCACACCCTTTTTCTCCCGTTCCCTTCCTTTTCATTCGCTCCACTTCCTTTCTCTTCCCGTCACTTCCCCTCAAGACCTCTCCCGACCCCTTCCTTTCGTCGCGTCCTCTTCAATCCCCATCTCTCCCCTTTGCTACCTTTCGCCGCCCTTCAATCCCCTTCCTTCCACTCGCCCACCGTTCCCCCCGCCCGCCCTCCCATGTTGTGGCCTTATAGCTAGCATCATTGCACCGCGGCGAGTGCGAGCGAGGGCGGGCACAGGGAAGCTCGTGCATAGCGGCACAGGGAAGCTCGTGCATAGCGGCACAGGGAAGCTCGTGCATAGCGGCACAGGGAAGCTCGTGCATAGCGGCACAGGGAAGCTCGTGCATAGCGGCACAGGGAAGCTCGTGCATAGCGGCACAGGGAAGCTCGTGCATAGCGGCACAGGGAAGCTCGTGCATAGCGGCACAGGGAAGCTCGTGCATAGCGGCACAGGGAAGCTCGTGCATAGCGGCACAGGGAAGCTCGTGCATAGCGGCACAGGGAAGCTCGTGCATAGCGGCACAGGGAAGCTCGTGCATAGCGGCACAGGGAAGCTCGTGCATAGCGGCACAGGGAAGCTCGTGCATAGCGGCACAGGGAAGCTCGTGCATAGCGGCACAGGGAAGCTCGTGCATAGCGGCACAGGGAAGCTCGTGCATAGCGGCACAGGGAAGCTCGTGCATAGCGGCACAGGGAAGCTCGTGCATAGCGGCACAGGGAAGCTCGTGCATAGCGGCACAGGGAAGCTCGTGCATAGCGGCACAGGGAAGCTCGTGCATAGCGGCACAGGGAAGCTCGTGCATAGCGGCACAGGGAAGCTCGTGCATAGCGGCACAGGGAAGCTCGTGCATAGCGGCACAGGGAAGCTCGTGCATAGCGGCACAGGGAAGCTCGTGCATAGCGGCACAGGGAAGCTCGTGCATAGCGGCACAGGGAAGCTCGTGCATAGCGGCACAGGGAAGCTCGTGCATAGCGGCACAGGGAAGCTCGTGCATAGCGGCACAGGGAAGCTCGTGCATAGCGGCACAGGGAAGCTCGTGCATAGCGGCACAGGGAAGCTCGTGCATAGCGGCACAGGGAAGCTCGTGCATAGCGGCACAGGGAAGCTCGTGCATAGCGGCACAGGGAAGCTCGTGCATAGCGGCACAGGGAAGCTCGTGCATAGCGGCACAGGGAAGCTCGTGCATAGCGGCACAGGGAAGCTCGTGCATAGCGGCACAGGGAAGCTCGTGCATAGCGGCACAGGGAAGCTCGTGCATAGCGGCACAGGGAAGCTCGTGCATAGCGGCACAGGGAAGCTCGTGCATAGCGGCACAGGGAAGCTCGTGCATAGCGGCACAGGGAAGCTCGTGCATAGCGGCGCCTCGTGCATAGCGGCACAGGGAAGCTCGTGCATAGCGGCACAGGGAAGCTCGTGCATAGCGGCACAGGGAAGCTCGTGCATAGCGGCACAGGGAAGCTCGTGCATAGCGGCACAGGGAAGCTCGTGCATAGCGGCACGGGAAGCTCGTGCATAGCGGCACAGGGAAGCTCGTGCATAGCGGCACAGGGAAGCTCGTGCATAGCGGCACAGGGAAGCTCGTGCATAGCGGCACAGGGAAGCTCGTGCATAGCGGCACAGGGAAGCTCGTGCATAGCGGCACAGGGAAGCTCGTGCATAGCGGCACAGGGAAGCTCGTGCATAGCGGCACGCGAATAGAACCTAGGCGGCCCTCACGGGGTGAGTCGCCCCACTGCATTCCCTCCATTCCCCTCCTTCCATTCCCCTCCTTCCATTTCCCCCCTTCCATTCTCCCTCCTTCCATTTCCCTCCTTCCATTTCCCTACTTCCATTCCCTTCCTTCCATTGCCCTCCTTCCATTCCCCTCCCCCTCCTTCCCTTCTGCCCTTCCCTTCCTGCCCTTCTCTTCCCGCGCTTCCCGTACCACCCTTCCGTCCCTGCCCTCCCATCTCTCCCTCCTGCCCTCCCATCTCTCCCTCCTGCCCTCCCATCTCCCCGCCCTGCCACCCGTCTCCCCCCTGCCCTCCCATCTCCCCGCCCTGCCACCCGTCTCCCCCCTGCCCTCCCATCTCCCCGCCCTGCCATCCCGTCTCCCCCCTGCCCTCCCATCTCCCCGCCCTGCCGTCCCGTCTCCCCCCTGCCCTCCCATCTCCCCGCCCTGCCGTCCCGTCTCCCCCCTGCCCTCCCATCTCCCCACCCTGCCCTCCCATCTCCCCGCCCTGCCGTCCCGTCGCCCCTCTGAGTGCAGGGCGCGTGACGGGAGGAGCAAGGCGGCCATCAGTGCATGCGGCCCGCCATGGCGTCGCTGCCCTCCTCCTCCTACCTCGTCGCCGGCTTGCTTGGCCGCCCCGGCGCTGCCAAGGCCATGGCGCGCACCGACGCCGCGCCCGCGGATGCGGCCACCGCGGGCAGCAGCGGGGGGGCGGGCAGTGGCGAGGGCGGGCAGTGGTACTTCAGCCGCGAGCACATCGAGAAGCACTCGCCGTCGCGTGCTGATGGCATTGACTTGCGGCGTGAGACGTATCTGCGCCGCTCCTACTGCACCTTCCTGCAGGACCTCGGCATGCGCCTCCGCGTGTACACCCTCACCCCCCACCCCACCCCCGCGCCTCACGCCCTTCCCCCGCGCCTCGTGCCCTTCCACCGCGCCTCATGCCCTTCCCCCGCGCCTCATGCCCTTCCCCCGCGCCTCATGCCCTTCCCCCGCGCCTCATGCCCTTCCCCCGCGCCTCATGCCCTTCCACCGCGCCTCATGCCCTTCCCCCGCGCCTCGTGCCCTTCCACCGCGCTTCATGCCCTTCCCCCGCGCCTCATGCCCTTCCACCGCGCCTCATGCCCTTCCACCGCGCCTCATGCCCTTCCCCCGCCCCTCACGCCGTTCCCCCGCCTCAACCGTTGCTCTTGCCTGACCTGCTCGCATGCATTGGGCAAATGGCCCGCCAGTCTGCTCGCATGCATTGGACAAATGGCCCGCCAGTCTGCTCGCATGCATTGGGCAAATGGCCCGCCAGTCTGCTCGCATGCATTGGACAAATGGCCCGCCAGTCTGCTCGCATGCATTGGACAAATGGCCCGCCAGTCTGTGCGCCAAATGGACCTCACCTCACCTCACCTCACCTCACCTCACCTCACCTCACCATCCCCCACCTCACCCCGCACAACACCCCCCCATCCCCCCTTCCCCCGGGCGCCCCCAGGCCGCAGATAACGATAGCGACGGCCATCGTGTTCTGCCATCGCTTCTTCATGCGCCAGTCGCACGCCAAGAACGACCGCTATGTGCGTTGCCTTGCCTTGCCCTCCCACCCATGGGCCTTGCCCACCCACCCATGGGCCTTCCCCACCCATCCATGGGCCTTGCCCTCTCTGCTATGTTTTCCCGTTTCTGCGAGCCTCATGTGCCATACACGAGTGTGTGTGCCATGCAGTGTATGTGGGTGTGTGTATGTGTGTGTGTGTGTGTATGTGTGTGTGTGTGTGTGTGTCACATGTATGAGTGTGTGTGACATACACGAGTGTGTGTGCGCATTATACACGAGCGAGTTTGTGTGTGCGCGCGCCAGACACGAGTGTGTGTGTGGTTGCACAGCAATTCCTTCACGCGTCTACCATGCATGCCTCCTTCACCAGACCAAATTCCTCTGAGAACTTAGGCTTAGAAGCGATGCATTAGTAATGAGCTTGAAGCTCTTTAAGTACATCCAAAAAGGGGAGGGAATGGATGGGGAAGGGAATTGGGGGCAATCCCTAGGGATTGAGGGTAATCCCAAAGCAATCTCCAATTGGTGCGTTGGAGATTGCTTGGAGATTACATTTGGGTTTGGTTGGGATGTAGGTGTACACCCAACCACACACAATGTGCAAACTACACTACTCTAGGATATAGAAAATACAAAGTACAAAGTGTGAGATTGAAGGCTAACATTAACACCCCCCCATAGGCGTCAATCGAACTCAGGGTAGAGAGGGTGGTGCACAGAGCCCCATGGCGCCTAGGAGATGGTGGTGGGGAACTTTCCCAAGGGGCTTGGTGAACAGATCAGCCAGGTTGCAGTCAGATGCAACGTATTCCACTTTCAGCTGCTCCTGTTGGACAAGGTCACGGATGAAGAAGTGCCGGAGTTCAATATGCTTGGTGCGGGTGTGATACACAGGGTCTTGAGAGATGTGGATGGTACTCTGGTTGTCACACCAGAGGGTGGGGGCGGACTGTGGGAAACCAAGCTCCTGGAGCAGGAAGGTGAGCCAACGGGCCTCCTGAGCAGCCATGGTGCCAGCGTAGAGCTCTGCCTCACAGGAGGAGAGGGAGACTGCAGACGACCTGGTGGAGCGCCAACTGACAATTCCGCTCCCAAGGGTGAAGCAGTACCTCTGAGAGGAGCGTCGGTCGGTCTGGTCATCAGCCCAGGAGGAGTCGGTGTAACCTTCCAGGCGAGGAGGGGAGAGCCCACCGAGTGTGAGAACGTGAGACTTGGTGCTCTGAAGATAGCGCAGCACCTGCTTCGCCGCCTTCCAGTGAAGATCAGTGAAGCGTCCAGGGACCACGTAGCGAGAGAGGACACTGACAGGATAGGCCAAGTCCGGTCGGGTGCACATCATGGCATACATGAGGGACCGAACAAGCTCCGGGTATGGCTCAGAGCAGGCCTCTAGTGTGGGTACATCTGGAGCTGTGAGGAGGTGTTGCAGCGGCAGCGGGGTGGCAACAGGTGTGCACAGCTCCATCTCAAACCGCTTGAGCACATTGTCGATGTAGAACTCCTGGGAGAGTGAAATGGTGCGAGCCTGGCGATCACGAGTGATCTTCATCCCCAGGTAGTGCTTGAGGTCACCGAGGTCCTTCATCTGGAGGGCCTTACTCAGGGCTACCTGGACAGAGGTCATCTGGGCCGAGTCTTTGGCAACGAGGATGAAATCATCCACGTAGACCAGGATGTAGAATGGCACAGAATGACGGCGGATGAAGAGAGTCGGGTCAGCAGTGGAAGGGTGGAAGTCCAGGGAGAGGAGGACTTCCTTCACCTTGTTGTGCCATTCGCGAGGGGCTTGCTTAAGGCTGTAGACGGGGCGATTCAGCTTTCAGACAGTGTTGGGAGGGAATTCTCCTGGGAAGCCTTCTGGTCTGTCCATGAACACTGTCTCCTTGAGACGTACTTGTAGGAAGGCGGATGAGACATCCATGGATTTGATCTCAAAATCTTCTCGAGCTGCGACATTCATGAGCGTACGAATGGTGGGAGGTTTGGATGTGGGGGAGAAGGTTAGGATGGAATAGAATGGGCGGGTCTCATCAAAGACAACGTCGCGGTTCCGGACCAACTGTTGAGTGGAGGGATTGAGGAAGAGGTAGTTAGGCGAGTCGGCGTTGTGCCCGAGGTAGATGCACGTCTGGGTCTTGGGACCGAGCTTGCCGCCGTGCTGCCGTCGAGCCTGAGGGTTGAGGAGGACATAGGCGGTGCACCCCCAAACGCGAAGAGAGCGAGCAGTGGGCGTTTTCCCGAGCCAGAGTGTGGTTGGAGTGGTGTCGGGAAGATGCGGGTGGGGGTAAAGGTTGTAGGGGAGGGCGGCGTGGTAGAGAGCGTACCCCCAGAGAGAGTGCGGAGCGTTGGAGTGGCTGAGGAGGCACCGAGTGATCTGCACCAGGGTGTGGTTGCGGCTCTCAGCTATGCCGTTTTGCTGCGGGCTGTCAGGGAGGGTGAAGTTTTGCTGGATGCCTTCTGAGGAGCAGAAGGCTTTGAGCTTGTCGTTGCAAAACTCACCACCACCATCTGAGTGGAGGCGCTTGACTTTGCGGTCAAAGGCGGTCTGTGCCTGTTTAACCCACGCCATGAGGACCTCTGGAACCGCAACCTTAGTTTGGAGGAGGTGAACAGAGACGTAGCGAGAGTGGTCATCGACGATAACAAGGAAGTATAACCACCTCGTGCGGGAACAGGGGCAGGGCCCCAGACGTCCAGGTGTACCAGGTCCAGTGGTCCTGCTGCGACAGAGGGTGAGGCCGGGTGGGGCTGTTGACGCAGTTTGCTCTTGGTGCAGTCAAGACACGTGGGAGCGGGGGAGTCTGGTGGTGGAGGAAGTGAGGCTGGCAGGCCGAGTAGAAGTTTCTTGGAGGCCATGTCAGCAAAGTGTGCGGAAGTTTGGGTGCCCGAGCCGATGGTGGTAGAGTATGGTCGGGTTGGAGAAACTGCGGCACGAGCATGGTGAGGTAGTCTCCGCTGTTTGGGTGGTTGACACCTGTGGGATGGGTACTTGCAGCGTGTAAAGGCCGCTGCTGTTGAGGGTGAAACGAGTCAAGACCTTGTTGGTGAGTGGGTCGAGGATATCACCATAGTTCTCGTTCCCCCAGAAGATGGTGCGTAGCCCAGCTTCCTGAATTTCCGTTTGGGCCACGAGATTGTGGCGGAGTGAAGGCACGCACATTCCAGTGACAGTGCCGGAAGGGAAGGCGGGACACGGGACTGTGGATGAACCCTTGGCATGAGTGGTGAAGCTTGAGTCAGCTCCTAGGAGAGGGATGGGTGTTGCATAGGGTTTGAAGGAGAGTGTCTCCTTGAGTACAGTGTGTGTGGCGCCGCTGTTGAGTGTGAACTCTATGTATTGTGGTGCTTGTGATGAGCTGAGGTACTGGGAGGAAGCTTCATTAATCATGGCAGTGCCAGGAAACAACAGGTTGATACGCACATCAGTAGGAGCACTATCACTAGCACTAGCCGAAGCGGGGTCCGGGACCTCAACTAGATTGGCCTTACGAGGGCGCATCCAGTTTGGCGGCTTCTTGTCCACTCCGTGAATGGCATACCATTCGTCGTCTTTCTTCTTGAAGCACGTAGCAAGGGGGTGGTTAGTGCCACCACACACTTGTCCCTTGCGGTTGCCATACTTGACGACATAGGTGCACGGAGGGAACCGGTTGCGCTGGAAGGGCGCCGAGGCGAGGGCCGATGCGACACTTGCTTGCGGCATGGGAGCGCGGATGGCGTAAGCCTTGGCTTGAGCCGTGGAATCTTTCTCAGCAGAGAGGAGTGCGGATGAGACCTTAGCAAATGTGAGGTCTTCCGCTGAGAGCGTGAAGAGCATCTTCCTCGTTACTTCATATGCCGAGGTGAGACCAACAAGAAGGGCGGCTGCAAGGGCTTGTTCGGGGAAGACTATGCCCAGCTCCTTCAGTTCGCCATGAATAGTCTGCACCTTGGCGATGTAGTCAGCCATTCCCGAGCAATCCTCAAGGCGGACCTGGAACATGCTGGGGATGAGGATGGCAACTCCGACCGCCGTTTTGTTCATGAACCGATCCTGAAGGTACTTCCAGATGGCGTTGGAGGTAGGGTAGTTGTGGAACGTGTTGACTAGTTCGGGAGGGGTGGAGGCAATGAAGACGCTGATGATAGCAGCATCTGCCCTCTCCCATTTCCGGTACTTCTCAACAGCTTCCTCGTACGCCCTCATGTCAGTATCACTAGCGGATTCGGTCGGCTCAAGGGGGGAAGGGGGCTGTTTTCCCTTGCCATGGTTGAGGAGAACGTCCTTGAGGTCCAATCCCTGCACTTCACGACTCAGGAGGTGCTTGTCAACCCCGTAGCTCCATGCCTTGAAGTTGGAGCTAGAGCCATCGGCTTCAAGGCGGAGCGGGGTGATGGGGTTGGCCATGGTGGACGAGGAGTAGGCCATGATGAAGGCCCCTTAATGTCTCGTGCGGAGCGCCGCTCTTAAGTCACCGGCGCGCAGCGCGGCGATTCCGAAATTCGACGGGTCCGAATAGGAGAAATCGTCAATGTCGGCCGCGTCGGAATGCCTTGTAGAGAGATTTTTCAGGCCGTCGAAATTAGGTTGAATCGGCCGATTTCCGTAGTACTAACTCTAATCCCACACACCCCCCCTCACACCACCCTGAGCTTCGCGACTACGCTGCTGCTCGGCTTCGCGGCTACACGGCTGCTCGGCTGCGCTGCTGCACCTGTTCAGCTGCGAGAAGGTGGGGGGGAATGGGGGTAGGAGTGCAGATGCGGAGCGACGGGTGGCAGCCCGAAGGTGAAGCTGCAGGGCGACGGGCGGCGGCCCGACGAGAAGCTGCAGGGCGACGGGCGGCGGCCCGACGAGAAGCTGCAGGTCGACGGGCGGCGGCCCGACGAGACGAAGAAATGACGCGATGATGTTGACGAAAAAACGAGCGATAGGTTATAGCGCCGACGATGCGCTTACCAGTGAACTAGTAGATGTCGTCGAAAGTGACGGGAAAGTGGTGCGGGAGAATTTCCGCCCACGAATGTCGCGAATCACCGGCGACGAGATTGAAGGTGGTTCCGCCGAGGTTTGCGGGATGAGCATCCGCAGAGATAAGAGGATCACGATCCGCGTGTGCGGTTGACGAGCTCTGATACCATGTGAGAACTTAGGCTTAGAAGCGATGCATTAGTAATGAGCTTGAAGCTCTTTAAGTACATCCAAGAAGGGGAGGGAATGGATGGGGAAGGGAATCGGGGGCAATCCCTAGGGATTGGGGGTAATCCCAAGGCAATCTCCAATTGGTGGGTTGGAGATTGCTTGGAGATTACATTTGGGTTTGGTTGGGATGTAGGTGTACACCCAACCAAACACAATGTGCAAACTACACTTCTCTAGGATATAGAAAATACAAAGTACGAAGTGTGAGATTGAAGGCTAACACTAACACTTCCATGCCCTCCCCCCGTCCCCCTGTGCGTCATGCCGCCACCTCCTCCCTCTTTCTCCCCCCTGTGTGCCGTGCCCCCCCCTCCCCCCACTTTCCCCCCTTGTGCTTCACGGCCGTGCCCCCGCCCACGGCAGGCGATAGCGACGGTGTGCATGTTCCTGGCGGGCAAGGTGGAGGAGACGCCGCGCGCGCTCAGGGAGGTAGTGCAGAAGAGCCTCGACGCGCAGGCCCGGAAGGACCCCGCCGCCGCTGCCAAGCTGCCCCACAAGGTGCCAAGCTGCCCCACAAGGTGCCAAGCTGCCCCACAAGGTGCCACGCACAAGGTGCCAAGGTGCCCCATAGGGTGTGCATTCTGATTGCCCTCTCCTCTGGTCCCTACCCCACCTGTCCCTCCTCCCCTTTCACTCCTCCTGCGTGTCCCCCCTCCATCCCCCCCACCCCACTGTGTGGGGGCGGCACCAGGAGGAGCAGCAGAGGGAGGTGGTGCTGGTGGGCGAGGGGCTGGTGCTGGCGACGCTGGGGTTCGACCTGAACGTGGCGCACGCCTACAAGCCCCTCGTGGCCGCCGTCAAGCGCTTCAAGGTCGCCCAGCAGGCCCTCGCCCAGGTCGCCTGGAACTTCATCAACGACGGGTCAGCCCGGGGGAGGAGGGGGGGGAAGAGGGGAGGGGAGAGGGGGGAGGGGGGAGGGGGGAGATGGAGGGGAGATGGGGGAGGGGAGGAAGGGGAATAAGGCAGGGAAGGTGGTTGATTGAGTGGAAGGGGGGACGGAGTGTGGTGGTGGTGGTGTGTGGAAAGGGAGATTCCATGTGTGTGCCATCTCTCCCGATTGTTTGTGCTGCATGTGCTGCCTGCCATCTGCATGTGCTGCCTGCCATCTCCTGCTTTTCCAACCCCAACGTTTCCTCCCTCGTCCTGCCCGTTAACCCTCCACCCCCCTCACCCCCTCCTCCCCCTGCCAGGCTGCGCACGTCGCTGTGTCTGCAGGTGCGCGCGGAGCAGTTCGCGGCGGGCGCCATCAGCCTGGCGGCCAAGTTCCTGCGAGTCAAGCTGCCGGGCGACAGCGACTCACCCTGGTGGGCCGACTTCAACGTCTCGCCCAAACTGCTCCACGGTGCGCCGCCCTCCACGCATGCATGCATGCGCGCACGCCGTGCCGCCAGGGGCATGTGCTGGAGTGTGAGGGGCATGTGCTGGAGTGTGAGGGGCATGTGGTGGAGTGTGCAGTGCAAAGCCAATATAGTTTTCAGCGTGTGAAGTGTTTTATGCCACGTCGCCCACCCACTGCCACCCCGCCCACCCAATGCCACTTGTCTGCATCAGCTGTGTAATGCCGTGACCCCTTCTCGTTGATTCGCTGTGTGTTGTTTTCACTCTCTCGTTCTTTCGGTGTCCCTGCACATCCTCCCCCTCCCCTCCCCTCCACCCCCACCCCACGCTCCCCCCCCCCCCCCCCCTCCTCCCCCGTGGCACTAGACGTGAGTGTGCAGTTGCTGGAGCTGTACGAGCAGGTGCGCCTCGCCCCCAACCCCACCTACAACGCCTCCACTGCCATCGCTCCCTCCGCTGCTGCTGCCGCCCGTGGCACCTCCCGTGGGGCCGCGTCCTCCCTCTCCTCGCAACCCCCCCTGCCATCCGCCACCACCACCAGCAGCAGCGCCCCCTCGCAGGGGAGGGCGTCCGCTGGCGGCTTTAGTGACTCACGCGGCGCTGCTGCTGGCGGCGGGGCTGTGGGCGCGCAGGGGGCGAGGAGGCACAGTGACGGGGAGAGGGAGCGAAACGTGGAGAGAGGCGGACAGCGGGAGAGTGATCGCAGGAGGGAGCGGGAGGCGGTGAAGGGCAGGGATGGGAGGGCGGGTGGTAGCGTGGGAGGTGAGGGTGGCGCGAGTGGGGATGGCGCGAGGAGGGCGGGTGAGGCAGGCACAGTGGAGGAGAGGGGAGGGCGGCAGAGTGGGGGCGACTCAGATCACGGCGGAAAGGGTGGGGAGTCACAGAGGCGAGGCGGGGATGGAGCAGTGAAGGAAAGGGAAGGGGGAGAAGGCAGAAGGGGCAGTGGGGGAAGCAAAGAGGGCGTGGAGGAGGAGGATGGGGAGATAGGCGAGTGGTCAGGCGGGCAGGTGGAGGAGCATGGCAGCCCACCTCAAGGGGGGCCGGGCAAGGGGGGGCGGGGCAGTGCGGTGGATAAGGGCGAAGGGGCGGAGGGGTGGAGGAAGAGGAGGTGGGGTGGGGAGGAGGAGATGGAGTATGAGGCGATGCTGGCTGACGTGGACGTGGGGGCGCGAGGCACGGGGGGCGTGAGGGAGAGGGAGAGAGGCAGGAATGAGACGCAGCAGCAGTGGAGTGGGGTGAGGGATGGGAGTGGGGAGAGGCGGCAGCAGGTGAGGGCTCACGTGGCGTCTGTGGAGGGAGGGGCGGGTCGTGACGGGGCAGGCGGTGCGGGCAGGAGGGAGGAGGGCGAGGAGGGCGAGGAGGGCGAGGAGGGCGAGGCGGGCGAGATAGGGGAGGCGGGGGAGGTGGGTGTGGAGGAGCGGGGCCGGGGGGATGCGGAGGATGGTGGGCGCGCAGAAGGCAGGGGGCGGCGGGGTGGCATGGATGTGAACCAGCATGAAGGGGCGGAGCGCAGTGGCATGGATTTGAACCGCGCCGCGGAGGAGCCAGCAGCAGTGCGCAGCAGGGGTGGGGCGAGCAGCCGAGGGCTCTCCGGTGCTGCTGGAGGCAGCAGTGCTGCTGGTAGAGCCGACCAACGGGCGTCAAATGACGGAGAGGAGCACAGAGGGGTGCCTCACGGTGCGTTGAGGCGAGTTAGAGATGCGGACGAGGCTGGCGATGGCGATGGTGATGGCGATGGGGAGAGTGGGAGTGGGAGACACAGGAGTGGTGGCGAGTGGGGACGGCACAAGAAGGCTCGCATGGACCCATGATCACCATGAGCATGGGAGCACCATGAGCATGGGAGCACCATGAGCATGGGAGCACCATGAGCATGGGAGCACCATGAGCATGGGAGCACCATGACGCCAGTCTCTTTTCCGTACTCACCCGGGGAAGCCACCCTAGGGCTCTGAATCAAATGTATACCATAGAAAACAAAAACAGTTATACCGTACCCAGATGACACCATATGACATATTTGAGTCAAATAGATTGGCGAAGATGGTTACAGCAGTTGGCTAAGGCGATTATAGGTAGCGGGCGGCCAGCCCCTCATCACTCAGTACTCGGTACTCGATGCGCCCCTCATACGGCCCGAGGCTGCCCTCCACCACCTCCAAGCGCGCCATCTTCACACCCAGCTCTTGCGCCACATGCTGCACCACAAACTCCTCGCGCTCCTCACACACCGACACCACCCGCGTGGCCCAGCCACCCGATGCGGGCGGCGCGGTGCATGCAGTGCGTGGGCGAGGCGGGCAGGTGGAGGTTGACCACGAGGTCACAGGCCACCACGGCCAGCCTGCGCACCCCCACCTCCGTTGCCAGCTGCACCCGCACCCCGCCATCCTTGCCGGCATGCAGAGTAGCAAGTTAAGGTCATTCGGTAGGGCCGAATGGATGGGAAAATGCATCCAGGTGGGGAAAAATGGTGGGGTGGAGTTGAGAAAGGAGCTGCACTCAAGCTGTGCAAGTACTGGAAACTCATCATGGTAACTACTGTGAACTTGTGATGGCAGGCATGCGGAGAGGATGGACAAAAGCGAGAGCGTGGTGGATGAAGGCAGTGACATGCATGCCAACCAGACGGCTAGGTAGTGACATGCATGCCAACCAGACGGCTAGGCAGTGCCATGCACGCTAACCAGACGGCTAGGCACGAGTACAGCTCTGAACGGCACAGACAATGCAGTATACAGCAGTGGAGAGAGGACGGCAACTGACTGAGGCGGCACCTGAAGGAGGCAGCATTTGAAGGAGGCCACACCTAAAGGAGGCGGCACCTGAAGGAGGCAGCATTTGAAGGAGGCCACACCCAAAGGAGGCGGCACCTGAAGGAGGCAGCATTTGAAGGAGGCCACACCTAAAGGAGGCGGCACCTGAAGGAGGCAGCATTTGAAGGAGGCCACACCCAAAGGAGGCGGCACCTGAAGGAGGCAGCATTTGAAGGAGGCCACACCCGAAGGAGGCGGCACCTGAAGAAGGGCGGCAACTGAAGGAGGTGGCACTTGAAGGAGGGTGGCACCTGAAGGAGGACATGATGTTGGTGCACTCGTTACACACCTGCGTACACATAGAGGTAACATGTTGTATGGCGGAGCAAGGTGGTGGAGGTGGGAGTCAACAATGAATAAGTTTGGATGTGCAAAAAAACATTTAAGGATTGGCAAAAAAAATTGGTAGTTAGTAAGCGCCAAAAAGGGAGAAACGGAAACAAGAAATGGGTGGACAAGGTGAACAATTAATAGTGTCCCTTACTATCCCATGCGCTGCTTCTCAAATGGGCATGTGAGCATGGGGATGCCTGCGATATCGCCGTTGGAGTGCAGCAGGTGGTCGTAGACGCCGCCAAACACCAGCGTGGACAACAATAGCGCGGCGAACCAAAGAGGCCCACCGAACGACCGGGCCAAGGTGCCCGTTGTGAGAGTACGACGACTTTACCTACTTGGATTTACCTTATTAACTTTATCTTGCTTAGCCTTATTTTATTATGCATGCTTTTGCTCGTTTTCCTTAGAATCGTTGCGTACTATATTTTATTATAGTTATAGCACCATTCTAGGTTGCGTGCTCCGAATTCTAGGCTTTTCGGTTGTCACCGACTTCTACTGAATTCGAGAAGGACCCGTTCTGGACGCTTCACGATCCACGGAACTTTCGCGTAACACACGGGTTACTGGCCTTGTGTCGAGCCAATATATAGCCTTGTGTTGATGGGTTGTGGAAAATCTGGCCCTGATCCGTTTCAGGGCTCGTTTAGGCCTAAGTCCTGATTTCTAAAGGGCCATCATTAGGCGGACCCTGGAAAACAAACAGATCAACCGCTCATCCACCAGGCCTAACACCCCACCCTGTTTAGCCTCGATGCATCCAACCTGACGAAGCTTGAGTTTGTGGTGTGCCAAAACTCCAAATCAACCTGGACGGGTTGTTGTGCCAATCACAGAGAAAGTAGCATGACTGCTTGAAAGAACGAGGCTATGTTATTTTCCACCCGAAGCCCGAAGCCTAAGTGCCGAGTTTCAACCCAGACCTGCTAAATTCTGGGTCGTACATGCCGGCCCCCCGGACTTGTCCGGGTACCTCAAATCCAATCCACATCCCTGGTATCGCTCTGCAACCCGAGGTCAACTGCCGGAGAACGCACTGGTGTTATGCAAATTGGTAGTGAAAGTTTGGCTATGATTGTTGACGAGGTGTCGGGTTGGAAGAGGGGTGAAGCGAGGGGTGCGAAGCGAACGCAAATTACTGGTTGTACCCGAACCTTCTAGGCTTGGCGCCAAACCTAGAATCCTCCAAAACTCATCAAAAGTCTCATGTACCCAGAAGTTGTTTTGCAAATGATCATAGGGCAATCACATGGGTGACTTTCCAACCTGAGGGTACGTTTTCTGCTGGTGTCTTTTAGGCTGACATGGAGCCATGAACGGTTCAAATTGATGACGTGTAACGATCAGAGCTACCAATAGCCTTGCGTCTGAAAACTTGATGTTTGCTATTCAGTCTAACTGGCCTAACTTGTAACCCGAATCTCTCCAACGCGCGTAAACAAGGCACAGGACACAAACACAAGCAACACCAGCACCGGCAGCACCAACATCATCCCGACACGAGAGCATGGAACAATGCTCAAGCGCTGCTACTGATGGCACTGTATGCAAAGGAGTGTGCGACGACCATGGGACCACATACCTCGGAGTGACAGAGAACGGGGTCCCACAATAACTAGGGACACAGAGCTCGTGGGACAAACGAGAGCACCACGATATGCGTCGTCGCTGTGAATGCCACTGCCGCACCGTTCAAAGGTCGCTGCTTCGCGTGCATTCAGCTAGGGCACCGCAAAAGGAAATGCTCGGATACAAAGGAGAAAGAGGGAGCCGAGCAGGAGAAATAGTCCCAGCAGCAAGGAAACACTAGAATTTTTAGCATTCGGGACCTTTACTGACAAGACTCTCCGCTCGCCCGACCCAACCGACCCTCACCAAGTGAGCGTACAAATTTGCTCAGTCGACCACACTCGGCTGAACATAAAGGGTGCAGTGGAAGATAGTCCTATACTGTTGAGGGGGGGGATTTACACAAAACTTAGTTAAGATATTTATGGACGAGGGAGCTGGTCACGACTTAATAAATACAACCACCTCACGGAAACAAAGACGACAACTAGAGAGATGCTTACCTGAGATCGACAAAAGACTGATCGACGGCACACCATTAGCGATTCGGGAACGCGTGGACCGGTTTCAGATTCGTTGAGGGGGTAATTTCGATGGAACTGACATTTTACTCAACTGTGACTGGGTGCGACAACACTACCCACAGATGACTACATCGTGCGAGTCAAGGGTATCAACATCGCCTTACCTTGCCTGAGCTTGCCCGGGTCTTCGTCAATTTGAGTCAATGCCATCACGATGAAATGGGCAGTACCGGGAGGAGCTGACATGTACGCTGTTGACATTAGGGAAGCTGAGGCAGCTGAGCAACCGGACATACCGGATGACTTGGCGGTACTCTTGAAACAATATTGGGATATATTTTTCCCAATTACCTGCCCGAAGGGTTGCCATACCGCACGACCACAACATTTTACTGGAACTGGAGGCACAGACAACAATATAGTGACAGTTCATGCTGACACAACCTTAACTAGACGAACTTCGAGAAAAAAAAACAATTCGTCCGAGCTCGTCATCGTTCGCCGCGCCCATAGTGTTCACACCGAAAAAAGGAAGGGGATTTTGAACGCGTATAGATTACTACGCACTAAACAGAGTTACCATAAAATCGCGATTCGTGATTTTGCGAGCCAATGAACTGATTGAGAAGAAACGAGAATGAATGAACTATGAATGAAGTGGGTACAAGTACTAACCCTAATTGGGTTGTACCCCCTATGGGATACCCCACTACAGCCTACACAAAAGTATAAGCTATAATGTTTTGACACACCCCCATAGGCAAAGTGGGGGAGAACAAGGGGTCACAAGACCAGTCAAGCAAAGCAAAGCAAAGCAAGCTCAGGGTGGATCACAATGTCACCACACATTCCGAGCACAAGTTCAAGGCCACAAGGCCAGTTCACATGCAGGAGTACATATATATATATATATATAAGGCTAGACAAGCAAGAGCAGGTATATATATATGTAACAGTACAAGTAAGGTCAAGAGATGAGCAAGTGAGGCAAGACAGGGACAAGACCCAACTGAGTGCAGAAGCGCTGATGATCACAAGGCGGAAGTGCCTTGGTGAAAACATCAGCAATGTTGGCCTCAGAGGCCACGTACGCAAGCCGCAACTGACCACGCTGCTGTAGCTCACGAGCAAGGAAGTAGCGAAGAGCAATATGCTTTGTTCTGTACTCCAGTCTCTGCTCTCGACACAAGGCCAGCATGGCCTTGTTGTCTACGTATAGGACTAGAGGAGAACGAGGCGGCTCTCCAAAGTCGGTCAGCAGGTAGGTGAGCCAGCGAAGCTCCTGGGCAGCCATGGCCCCAGCGTAGATCTCAGCCTCACAACTGGAGCCGAGAACAGAACACGAGCGAGTAGCCCGCAACGAAACAGAGCCGGAACCGAGGCTGAAGGTGTAACCCTGTGACGACCGCTGCGTAGCCTGGTCGTCAGCCCAAGAAGCGTCCGCGTGCCCAGTGAGGACCACTGGACTCCGCCCTCCAAGCACTAGCCCCATGCCCGACGTACTGCACAAGTAGCGCAACACCCTCTTCGCTGCAGCCATGTGCTCAGGTCGGTGTCTCCCAGGAGCAACATAGCGTGCAAGAATGCTAAGAGGGTATGCAAGGTCAGGTCGTGTGCAGGTCATCACGTACATGAGGCAGCCAACAAGCTCTGGATACGGGCCACTCGACTCTACGGACTCATCCGAAGGCAGAGCTGAGAGTGAGTGGCGAGTAGGCAGAGGAGTGGCCTGAGGCGAGGAGTACGTGAAGCCGAAGCGCTGAAGGACCTGCTGCACCATGTGTGACTGAGTCAGGGTAATGGTGCAGCGTGCTCTGTCCCGGGTGATCTGCAAGCCGAGGTAGCTGCGTAGTTCACCTAGGTCAGTGCACGTGTGTCTCTTCTGCAGCTCGGACTTCACGTAGGCGAGTCCAGCAGTGTCAGCTGTGGCAAAGACCAAGTCGTCGACGTACACGAGGATGTAGAACGGCGGCAGAGAGGTGTCGGTGCGCAGAATCAGCGACGGGTCGGCAGTAGAAGGAGCAAACCCAAGAGCCGCAAGCGTAGTCCTCAGTGTGTTGTGCCACTCACGTGGCGCCTGGCGGAGACCATAGACTGGACGCCGGAGACTCCACTGGGTACCAGGAGGGAAAGACCCAGTGAAGCCAGGTGGGCGGCGCAGCCAGATCTCCTCGTGCAGGCTGCCCTGCAAGAAAGCTTTGCTGAAGTCGAGAGAGTGCAGCTCGTAGTCACGGTGAGCAGCAACGTGCAGCAGTACCTGAAGAGTGGTCATCTTCGGGGTGGGGGAGAAGGTCTGAAAGTAGTCAACTCCCTGCCGCTGACTGAAGCCACGAGCCACGTAACGCGCCTTGAAGACAGGCGGAGAACCCGGCGGCCGCTTCACCCTGAAGATCCACATGCCACTGACGATGTTCGCCCCAGGTGGGGGGACAGCGTCAACATAGGTGCCTGTGGACTTCCAGGAAGCCATCTCTGCATCCATAGCTGCCTGCCACTGAGAGGAGTAGGGACCCTCTATCGCCTCCGCGTAAGAGCGCAGAGTCGGGATGTCAAGTGCATCCGGGTCTCCCTCAGGGGTAAGCAGTACGGACACGAGATGAGGTGAAGCAGCAGCCAAGCACTGGAACTCCTCCTGCCTGTCCTCAAGGACGTCCGTGCCAAGGGCACACTCACCCCCGACGGACGGAGGACAGACAGACTCAGACTCAGCGACAAGACTGGCAGCGTAGTCTAGGCGACAGCGAGCAGCAAAGTCGACGAGCTCAGCTACAAGGGCAGACGCAGCAGTAGACTCGAAAGAAGGGTCAGTGACGACAGTAGCAAGGAGACGCGTGACAGTAGGACTGGCAGCACGAAGAGAGTCCGACTC